TTGACAAGAGTTACTTTTTCCTCCATGGTACCTGATCCCACCTCTGATCTTTTAAAAGGTCCTTATTTGATCTACTCTTAAAGTTTATTTATCCAATGTACTTTTGAGATTGTTTACTTTATTATTTCAGTAGTTTTTATACACTATTCCCCGCGACTAAGGCAATTGTAAAATGTTCGAGGTATGTATTTACAGGAGTAATTCGGAAATATATGTTGTCCTTTTAAAATTGCAGACTGGATCAGGCGTAAGGACACAATGTATTTTCACACTATCCCTCTAAGTGTCTGTATAATGAATTTATCTGGACGAAGATTTTTTTTTTTTCAAGAACTCATTTTTCCTGAATGACCAGACTTTTCCGAGGCGGAAATTTATATTCTGACGTCCTCTGATGCACATTTGGCGTAAATTAGACTCCCTCCGAGGCGAAGTGTAACGGTATGTATAATCTATATCTGGTCAGTAGGTCACAAGCATGTGGAATTTGGACAATACCATGTCAGTGTTCAACAGCATGTAGGATTTTATAAGTTTTCTTCTAGATCAGTGAAAAATAGGATTTTCATCAGAGGCAGAATAAAGAATCAAGCATTAACAGTATAAATAAAACTGCTTCTCAGGCGCTCGGCTCTGAAGTCACTAACACACCTAATGGCACTGCCAGTTTTACCAGTATCACTAATTGCGTCGAGTGAAAGACATCAGATTAAAAAAAAATAAAATAAAACCTGAAAAAGTTTTTTAAGCTTACAATTCATCAGTTTCATTTTACCCATCCGCTCAGAATATGTAAATAAGAACACAGTTTTTCTATTTCTATGTTTATTTAATTTTTACTTTTGGAGACTACGTCCAGAATAGAAAATGGAAATAATGTTTAATAGGAACCCTCAAAGAGATAACTATTCACAAATAAACGACTGTTTAGAAGAAGTCAACATTTAAACATTTTAACTCTCACCCCCCCCCCCTTTAAAAATTTCATTGTCAAATGTGCTAACTGTATTCAGAAACATTTATTTAAAAACAGAATTAATGGAATACGAAAATTAATAAAAATGGCATGTCTCTTTAATTAACATTGCTTCATCTGTGTTGTGTGTTTCACTAACATTCAAATGAATCATCCATTTCTTCTCCTTGCTAATCTGCATCTGTAGAGAATAAATCCAAAAAAATGTCAACCACAAAACTGTATCATTCTCATACCCGCGATTTTAGATTATAATTTTATAAAAACAAACTAAACATTAAATTATCAAAAAATAAACAACGTATGTAAAGAATGACAATTGTTTACCTAGTGACGCTTGATCAACATTCTTGTTTCTGTTACAGTTTTTCCATCGCTGACTTTCGGATGCCAAGGTTTGAGCCAGACTGCCGGGGACCAGGGACCGTTCAGGAAGGCCCGGTGACAGGAGTTAAACCACCAGCCTCCACGAGTCCTACTGAGAGCAGCACAGTTACCTTGACTCCACATGTCGTGATCCCTGTCCGGGGTAGTGAAGTACATCCCAGACAGGTCTTTGGAAGTAGCTCCTGTGTTCAGCATACTGTCATCTATATATTTAAAAAAAAAACAGAAAATTTAATTCTGTTCAGGCCTTTTAATTATTAATACTTAAAATAATTTAAATGAATTACACATACGTAACACCCGTGATCGGAAGGTCGTGAGTTGGAATCTCGGCCGCAACTGACCTAAGTCGATAAAAAATAGGTAGCAACTGTCCCTTCGCCATGCGCTCGGCACTTTGAAGTGAAAGTTGCGGGTCCCCCGGATGAGATCTTTAAAACTGAGGCCCACGGTGTCACGGCAGGCGTTGGCACGATAAAGATCCCTCACTGCTCAATGGCCCTGTGTGCCGAGCAAAGGTCAAAATTTGAAGCCTTCCACTGGTATATGGTGACGTCTCTATATGAGCGGAAAATTCTCGAATGGGACGTACAACAGCATACAACCAATCAATAAATATTCTCACGTTGTGAAAATACCATTTTGATATCCTTTTGCACTTTTATTCAATAAGTAAATTACGTATTTCACTGTTGAAAATGTAATAATTTTTATTTTGTTATTAACTGAGGGGAACCAAAAAAACCTTTTAAGAAGAAGACACAGAGGTAACAAATATTTTGCTTTTCGAAGAGCTGACATTGAGTTAAAATTGTTTAAGGTGTATTAAACATTTAACATGACTTATTACCTCACTCTGGCTCTATCCTTCTCTCTCTTTCTTTCATTTTTTTTGGTCGCCCGCGTGGCGCAGTGGTTAGAGCGTTTGCTCTAGAGTCGCGAAGTAAGGAGTTGATCCTTACGTCGCGGGTTCGAATCCAACTGTGGGACGTGGAGACCGGTCCTTCGGATGAGACCGTGTAAACCGAGGTCCCGTGTCGCAGTAGGTGCTGGCACGAAAAACATTCCTCACTGCTCAATGGCCGTTAGTCCGAAATATCTGTCGTTTTCCTGGTTTTTTTACTATTTTTAGGTCACCTGAGTCACTGGGTCAGGGGTTCTGGTTTTAGGGCGGGCTCTATAGATTATATAGTGAAAATGCATTAATTCTTTGAAAATCTTCTTCTCTACTCCTGGGTATTAAATAAAGTAACTAAGTACATAGTTATGAAGAGCAAGAGTGCCTCTTCCAAAATTGTGAAATTCATGGCCCCAGGGTCAGGGGTTCTGGTGTAAGGACGGGGCTCTATTGATTATATAGTGAAAATGCATTAATTCTTTGAAAATCTTCTTCTCTGCTCCTGGATATTAAATAAAGTAACCAAGTACATAGTTATGATGAGCAAGAGTGCCTCTTCCAAAATTGTGAATTTCATGGCCCCAGGGTCAGGGGTTCTGGTGTTAGGGCGGGGCTCTTTTGATTATATAGTGAAAATGCATTGATTCTTTGAAAATCTTCTTCTCTGCTCCTGGATATTAAATAAAGTAACTAAGTACATAGTTATGATGAGCAAGAGTGCCTTTTCCAAAATTGTGAAATTCATGGCCCCAGGGTCAGGGGTTCTGGTGTTAGGGCGGGGCTCTTTTGATTATATAGTGAAAATGCATTGATTCTTTGAAAATCTTCTCTGCTACTGGAGATTATTTAAACAAACTACATGTAAGTGCATGATTATGATAGGCAAAGATGCCTCTTAAAATTTTTAAATATTTGGCTTCAGTTTTGGGGGTTCATGAGGAGGGGGGGGGGCTCTATTGATTATATACTGAAAAATCATTAATTCTATAAATTAATCATTGATTAATCCTGTCTGCTCCTTAGTGTTGAGCTGATAAATAAATTGCTTAGCTATGATGAAAATGGGAGCTTCGAACAGAATTTTTAAATCTTGTGATCCTAGGGTCAGGGGTTCTGGCATAACGAGGGGGGGGGGTGCTTTTGATTATATAGTAGAAAAGTTTTAATTCTTTAAAATCCATAGTTATGATGATGAGGGTAACTCTTCAAAATTTGTAAATTTCTTGACCCTTGGTCTTGGGTTCTGGTGTTAGGGTAAGGCTTTGTTGAATCTGTAGTGAAAATGCATTGTACCTGTGAAATTCTTCTCTGCTTCTGGGCATATCGGAAGCAAACTGAGTAAAAGTTTAAATGATATATGTAAGCGTATTCCTACCAGATTTTTGAACATCTGGACCATTTGTCTAAGCATTCTGGTCCTGGGCAGGGCTCTATTAATTTGTATTCTACTGAGAGAAGTTATTCCCCTTTTCCATTCACCTTTGATAATTAATCACTGTAAATAATGTATTTGAAAGGTTAATAGAATAAGATAATTATGCAAGAATGTTTATTGTATAATTCAAAAAGTACTTTCTTAGTTTTAATAATCAGGTAGACCTGTAAGTAATAGATAAATAAAAATGAGACAAAAATAACTTATCTTATTAAAAGTTCTTCAAAAACCATAAGAGAGGTCAATGCTAGAGGTTTTAATATGGGTTTGAAAATAGTACAGAAGCACTAATAGTTTGTTAATAGTCTGCATGGTGATAGTGTTAAGTGGGGGACAGATTGAACTTAATTTATAGGTTGATACTGAATACTAGACTAATTATTTTGTTGATCCTGATCTTCCTACTTCTCTTGCTTTAGGGCAACAAAGCTTCATCTATCAGTGTATTTAACTTCTAAATTGCTGTATTATACTCAGGTGACCGTTAAGGCCCTTGGGCCTCTTGTTATATTTTACGTGCAAGGAAAACATCCGAACCGGCGCCTTTACGAAAACTGGGAATTCGCCGCCTCCAACCAGAGGCGGCATTCTCGGGTTGATTTTCGATACTTGCAAAGCGAATGAAATGTCAGTCACACAATTTATCAATAGTACAATGCTTCTAGTACTCATCAACATCGTTTTTATTGGTTGTTTATAGAATATATAATCCGACGGAAACATTTTATCTGACTGTCGAGATTTGTTTTCATTTCGTGCATATACACATTTAAAAAAAAAAAAATTCAAGTCCTGTATCGAAATGATAAGTGATGTTTTCTTTTCATCGATATTGTCGAGTACTAGAAGCATTATGCCATTGATAAATTGTGACAACGGCATTTAATTCGGTTCCCAGGTATGGAAAATCAACTCTGACTGGAGACGGCGAAATTTCCAGTTTTCGTAATGGCGCTGGTTCTGACGTTTTCCTGGCACATAAAATATCAAAAAGCCTGGTGGTATAGGACAAAATTTGCAGCTCTCCACCAGCAAGTGGTGGCGTCTCCATATGAGTGAAAAATTCTCGAGAGGGACGTTAAACAACATACAAACAAACAAACACTTTCATTCTTTGCATTTATTGTCATACAAACTACCCAATACCTACCTTAGGTAGCTGTCTGTCTCGTCAGAAATGGAAAACTTTCTCTTACGTTCTCTGTTGTCTTATTTTTTACTATTTCTCTCCCCCTTTCTCTCCTTCTAGTTTCTCTTTTCTCCTTAATTGCATTGATAGTTCACACATTTTAGCTGTTACTTACCCAAGGTTCCGGTAGCGGGTCCTCCAAGAAAGAGTTTGTAGTTGTCTGCCTCATCAGTTATAGAGAATTGATGATAATGTTCATACAAAGTATCGCCATTTTGTAATGTAACAGAGACGTAGAGGGATGTGTTATTTCTTTTGTAAGCTGATGAATCAAGTCATTTCCTTCAAAAGGTTATTGTAAGGGCGTATCAAGTATTAATAACGTAAACATATGAGACTGTAGGTGTATATTAGGCATTCATTAGGTAAATATATGTCTTTGAAGAGTGTTGAACTTGTAGTGTTATAGAACCCAAACATTTACACAGATAAGTTATAACAGAGTTTAAATTAATATGTTAGATTATTGATTCATAGGGGATAGATACTTTGATATATAACAAAAACTGTGATATTGTAAATACTTTCTAAATTATCAAGATATCAATTGAAAGAGGTTTAATTAATAGATTATGGTAGGTCGCGGGTTTACTGCGTAAAATATATCCTGAATTTTGATATTATGTTCCTTAGAATTTACAGCATATTATCTGTAATTTTTATCAAATTTGCCTACGTGGTTTTAATGCTATATTACTGTAAACGCAGCAAAGTTTTTGGTACTATTTTTACGCTTTCCTAATGAAATATTTAGAAAAATAGCGTTTTTAAACCAATTTTACGGAGAGTTTCTTTAGAAAAGGTCGCATATTTTTTTAAAGACGTAGACGAATTAATCAGGAATTTCAAAATATCAAGATGAGGTAAAATACAAACTGTTGAGATGAAAAAATCAACATGTCTTCTCGTTAGTATTTTTGCTATAAAATTTCAAAGTTTGCTGTTATATTGCCAAAATGCTGCGTTTATAGCATTATTTATTACTACAACGTCATGCTGAACGTACTCGCGTTTACATGGATATCTTTTTATTTGGAATATGCAGGATCAAAAAGGTGACATAGATCCACACTGTTATTGTATTCATCATTAGCTTATTGCGGAAACTTGTCTACACTCATAAAACTGCCCAAGAAGTCAGAATGAACGGTATATTGATACAAGTTTGGCTTTCCAGAAAGCCATAAATGTCATCTCTTTGGCTTCATGAATGTCACAGAATAAACAGTGGAATGTTACATTATTTTTTTCAGCTATTACATGCAGTAGTATCACTTTTGAAAAAAAAAGGGGGGGGGGGAATCGACAACTTATCTGAACAATCTTTGACAAGGGGGAAAAGGGGTTGTCCAAACTCCACATTTTCATTTCTTGAAAGGAGGATTAAAACTTTTCCAACAAACATATTTTATATTATAGTACATTCCCATGGGATGATTTGACGTACCATACTGCAACAAAAGATGGAAGATGGGGCAAGGACGCGCCTTTGAATGAATATTTTTAATGTTTGGGAAAAACATGGAAGGGGGACGACCCTCCTGTTGCTACATGCCTATATTATTTTACTTGTTGTAAATATGCTTTATTCATTTTGAATATTTTTTGTACAATGTCTGTAAAAAAAATCTAACCACTGAGAAATATTCGTAAAAATTAGATATAAAACAATTGTTCCGTATGAAGATGGATAAAACCTTAGCGTTTCTTTTGACTTTAGTTTGTAGTCGCCTACTACAACAGCAAAGCAGTTTTAAAGCGCTAACTTAAATTAATCCGAACCTCAATTATAATTTCCAAAGATTTTCCTTATTTTAAACGTATCCTCCGAAGTGACTTGGCTATCGAGCCACTGGGAATATCAAGGAAAACATTGAGACACTCCTGCATCATATCCTTCTGCTGCCAATATGCAGATTCATGTGTTAACGCTATATTATGTTTATATAATATAAGTACATGTACACGTATACGCTTGTGGGAAAATAGCATGCATAGAAAGGTTATAAAATTGAAAAGTTACCATTTAAAATTAAGTATTGGCACACTGAAAAGAACCTCAATCTACCAACATCGATTTTATACGCTGTTTCACGAGACACACATTTTACAATTTTGGCTTTATTTCAAGAATACGAGGAGTGATTTTTTTTTTTTTTTTACTTTTTTCCATTGACAAAAAAAATGCAAATTAGAATTGCATAAAGAATTAAATTGATAAGTTGCTTTATTTATTAATCCTTAAAAAACCTGAGCCAGGTCAAGAAAATTGTGTTTTTCCTAAAACTTTTCCGCAGGAGTAATTTTAAAGAAAAAAAAGAATAGTGAAGACATCCGAGAAAATACTCATAATGATTCTTTACTATTTTTATTCCAATGCCTGCAGCACTGAGCTACTTAAATCAGAGACATTAATTTATGTTTCTGCTTAAATTGTGCTTTTAGGTAATATTTCTTTTCTTCGAAATTTATTTTTTTGAATAAGTTCTGTTTTATTTTTCATATACGGCAGTAAGTACATATAAAGTTAAGTTTTTGCCATTATATATATGCATTTAACGTGAATGTTTTCACTGTTTTCTTTCGTCAGTAAATCTTGGATCCACGCCTTAGCTGATACATTCAATATGCCATGTTTTGTGTATTTTGATCCCCGCGCGCTGACCATCGTTTCTGCTTCTGCCAAGTATTGTCCACAATCAACAAGCTGATTATTATGGCAAATTTGGTGCGCATGATATGACCAAAAATTAAAACTTTAAAAGGTTAATATTAATAATATTTCTTACTTATGGTTAGAAGATGATCACCTGAGACCTAAAGGTGTCAGGTGTATTCGCCGAGACTATCATTCCACTCTTTGATGGTCCAAGGGAAATAGGAAAACTTTTTACGCAATAACCTAGATACAATGTTTATGTGTATTTTGAAGACCACCACCCCAGCAATCCAACCTCTATTATCCTAATGAACCCTGTGTAGTTTTACTTTAAGATGGACCATTTTGTAATAATAAGGCAGAACGCTCAATTTTGTTTACATCTCTATATTTAGAAATCGTGTCATCGTCAGGTCATTTGCCAGACCACCAGCTTATCGATGGCAGCTTACACTAGGACTTCACTTCCGGAAAACGAACTTAATGTGTCATCTCCCGAGGGAGATGACAATAAACATTCCTCGTGCATTAGAATTAATACGCAGGGACAACACCGCGAGTGATAATATATATATTAATTCGTGTATTTTTTGGATGGTCATGTTCATTACATTACGATTTCAACGATTACACATTTTATCACTTCATTCGAAAACGGTGAAGAAAAAAAAAACACACACACACCCACTACTGATGAAAGGGGAGGGGGGGGTTACCGGGAATGTTCTTTTAATATCAATCGCAAGCCAGTATATCGCCCTAACTCTTAAACAATTGCTAATTTTTCCTTATCAAATTTTCATTGCCAAAATGTTAAATACTTGCATTCAGCTTATACACGTACAGCTTTTGTTATATAGAAAACAGATTGTACTTAATACTTGCACTACGTAATAGTATATGATTTTGTTTACACTGTCATATACATGAAGGTCCGATAGGCCGGGTGTTTGTATAAATTTATTATAATGCATTTGGTACCATGCATTTCACTATAATAAACCGATTACTTGCTAGCTTGCATAAACCTAGCGACTCCGCAAGATTCACGTACAAAAGAAAAAAAAGAAAAAAATAACAGGAAAATACAAGTAATTAAATATCCCTCGTTTTAGTGTCGAGAATTACAAATATTTTGGGGTATTTTTTTCGAGGCTTTAATTGGCAAACAAGGTGTAAAGCGTACGTTCCCTTTGTAATGCAAATTAACGTGCGCACATCCAACCTATGTTCAAGTTTTCGGCTAAGCAGTTCATGGTAACTTTCTTTTTGAATATCATTACTTTAACACTGACTCATTTTGATTGAACTTTAGCAGTTTAGTATCACTTAGGATATAAATTTTTCCTTTCATTTGGGTATCGTATTTATTACATGTATGTTTTATTATTTTGTTCAAAGACATTACACATAATCAAAATAGAATTCAGACTTATTAAATGATACTCAATCTTAGTTCATACGTCTTCGAGGTTTGCGTACAATAACATGTACTTTGTATATATCTACTTGGTTCGCACAGAGTATAAAATAAAGTCATTTACAGATAATTAAACGGGAAACAATGCAACGTCGCCTTTGTGAAGTAACTAACATCATAATCAAATGTGCACAAAAGAACCGCTTGAACCGTCGGAATTGTGTACCGAAATTGATGAAAAAAGCACATCCGCGATCTACCTTAAATTGCAATCCCTTAAAATTTCAACAAATGTTGACACAGCCGTAGATATTTAAGAAATGTAAATAAGTAATTACCGATCCAGTGAGAAACATTAGGATCCCCAAATCCATTCTTGTACTCACTCCATGTTTTATTAAATGTCGCTGCACCGCTTACGCGTTTCTGGATTGCCTAGGGGTTATCAACAGAAAAAGGAAATATTTTGAAGGTTGAAGATCGTTTTGTTTTCTTTCTATTCGGTTTCACTGAAAAAAAGTTGCTTATTTTATAGTGTTGAGAGAGAGAGAAAGGGAGAAAGAGATCTTACTGTCCACCCTCCGCCTTCTGTCACCATGTCACAGTACACGTTGACCTGGTTCTCGTTACCGAAGGGACTAATTGTATAAACTCCAGATTGTGTTTGTCCTTGTAGATAGTGGTCCTTACAATCCCTATTTAGTTTTATAACTGTAAAAATGGATGTCACATAATAATAATAATAACAACATCAATACTAGTAATAATAAGAGATTTCATTGGCACGATAATAAATACGATAGTTACTTACATAATATTCATTAAATAAATTGATGTATACAAGCAATAAGCATACCGCTGTATTTTCAAAATATAACTGAATTAATAAGTATAATTGAACATGAAGATTTCTCATTTTCTGTGGTCGATACAAAGAACTTATGAATAATGACATCCTCTTGTTACGCCGAAATTGACAAAAATATTTACAAATTTTCATGCAATTTATTGAATATGTGTGTGAAGAGAACGAGAAAAAAAATTACGGCAA